AAACAACTCAGTAAAAAATAAAAAATAAAAATAAGAATCAGAGCAAAAGTGTAGCACAATATAAAGAGCATTCTGAACTAACAGCTACATACTTCGACTGCTTGTCATTAAGAATGGCAGGGGCTCAAGCACACTCTCGATTCCTTTCTTCTATTCACAGTCGTCGTTCGTGGCGACGTTCCGCTTCGAGTCTAGTAACTTTCGTGCATATCAATCTTTAATCCGAGCAGGTCCTGCCATTTAGTAGAAATTCATCATAGTTGACACATACTTTCCTTTGGTGTCATCCTATTGTTCTTCATGCTCAACTGTCGTCAGATATTTTGATTACATGAGCACTCAATCTAAATAATTTCGTTCCTGATCGCTACTTCGGAAGCGAGATAGTTCTCAATTATCTGAAATACACTATCTGGCTTGACATCCTGTGTGGCCGTGAAATTTCACTAAACCTCGTCCAGGCATTTTTTGGATGGTCTACTGAACTTTGGACATCTCTGAAGTAGCTCACACACTCCTTCAACTGCTCAACATTGCGAGGACTGGTGAGCTAAAAATTTGAACACGTGGTCTCACATCCGTCAGTTGTTCAATTGAATTTCTAGAAAATCCGAACTCTGCCCATTTTGCTCCTATTCTTTTTCTGCACACTTTTTCTTCATGTTGCTATAGCCGTATTCACGGGACACTTTATGTAAAAGTTTGCTGTAAAGGGTACTTATTTGGTTACTTGGATGGCCCGTCCTCACTGGTTGTGCGGCTCCACCATAATCTCCATTTTTTGGAAGATTCGGTGGTTTAGCAACTGTAGTCTCCTGGAGTTCTGAGGTCAGCCTGGCCGAAGTCTGCCCAAGGTCGCCGCCAACACAGGCGCCCGTAGTCCTTGTGGATCAGAAGGAGACTTTCCACCAAGCAACTAATTTGATACCAGGACGGTGGTGGATCCTGATATTGGTTTACCCTTAGCAAGTTTTCCTGATAGAAACGTCGGACTCCTCAGTTTGGGAGACACTGCCAGTGGGATGAATACCCCCGCTGTACATCGCAGCCTGACACCCAGGAACACCTCCCAGCCACGATGAGGAAGTAAACCGTTGGGAAATGTTGTAAAGAAAAGTATCTAATTCTAATTATAATTATTGGCCTTCAGAGTATGATTTTTCGAATTCCTGTTTTTCCTTTATTTATAAGCAACCCTACCCCGTCCTACTCCTGGGGTCCTAGTCCTAGAAAAAGGAAAAACTACTAAAGGTAGTGTACATGTCTTTTCCAGTGGTCATATCTTATGAAAAATGGCGACTCGTTGCAAAAATAAAGTTGTTAGCGATATACAGTCCATCAGAAAGGAGGGTGTTGGTTCGACCACCACAACGCTTTCCTCCAAGTCAAGTGGAATTGCGTGCCTATCTCCATTTCTGTAACAAAAATCTACCCGACCAGCATTCTACGACATTCATAAAGATGACGAAATCCTCAAGCATCAGCCGAAACAACAGGTCAAATGCTGGGAAGCTTTTGTCGAAGATGAATCCGAGAAAATCCAATTGCAGACAAAAAATTCTACGATACATACAGTAGATGTTATGGCGGGTTCCCTTCGCTTTTAAGCTGTTGTCAGCTGCATTTATTGTACCATTGTGCCATAAAACCTAACTAATTTTTTTCAGCCAGTAAATCAGCCTATTACTAATTGCAATGAGTGTTCCACAATGCGACATAGCTTCAGCTTTCTTCTCACCACGGGAAACTTTTTGGTGGCAGTGCCAATTCCAACCGAACATCTTGACTGAAGAGTGGAACCGTATTGGGCACGCTTCTTGAGTACCTTAATGAGAACCTCGTAGTCATCGTTCAAGTTTTCCCTAATTTGCCAGTCATATAAGAAAACAGTGTCGTCCGTAATAACCACGTCATATACAACTCACTTCTTCATCTCGGTTGATGGCAAAAGTTCTTTTCTAACTGCAGGCCGAATACGATCTTTTCCCGGTAGTTAGGAAAACAAATAACATAGAGAAGGGTATGTAGACTTCTCGAAACTGCTACTACTTAGAGAAAAACAGAGAAAGGAAGAACTGCTAAAGGTTTTGTCCATCGACTCCCAGGATCGACTTTCTCTTAACCTCGGCATTCGAATATGAATGTGTTGTTTTCTTGTTCAGCAATCGCGAGGTTTTTAAACAGTATACATTTACTTCCATAAAAACACAATACAATACAACACTAGCTGACGTTTCGGCAGTATCGTCTTCTTCAGAGCCTGGAAGGGTATACTGATATACAATCTACTAGGCCAAACGCTTNATACAATCTACTAGGCCAAACGCTTCAATAACACTTACAAAAAGACGAAAAACTCCTTGGTAATTACACGATCAACAGCTTCTCGAGAAACTCACCGCTTTTTACGTGACTTCCAATGAGGAAGTTTAGAACAGCTGATTATAGTCGCATATGGTTGATGACAAGCGTTTGGCCTAGTAGATTGTATATCAGTATACCCTTCCAGGCTCTGAAGAAGGTGATACTGCCGAAACGTCAGCTAGCGTTGTATTGTGTTTTGTCCATAGTTTGTTATTCAATAAAGTCATAAATTCCTCGTTGTTTTTCCAAAATTGCGTCTATAGTAGAAAACATGATAGCTTATTTCGAAGCGCTTTAAAGGAATCGGTGCATAGAAGAGGACGGAATCACAACAACAATTTTGTGGCCAAAGATCTCGCCTATGATTAGAGTCGTTTGGTCTGATATGTAAGAAGGATGGGAGTAACATTTAACTCTCACACGGCCTTGATGTAGACGATATCTTTAAAATAAAGGAATAAACTCTGAAATTGTAAAAAAGATGTATGATATTTGACTAAATTTCGTGGATTCATGACAGCCACCAGTACGAAAGACTCCGAGCTTGCGATGAAAGAAAACGAAATTGAGAAATCTAAGCCTAAGTGGGTAGCTTATTGTTGAACCCACTGAAAATCAGTAGAACATGATGTTTCCTTTCTGGATAAACTGACCTATCTATGGACTAATAACGTATCTGATGAGTTAACGTATGCTCGGATTTTTATTGAAAATTTTTCATGGAGCACCTATAAAAGAACAGTCAACTTAAGCACAGTTTGTTCCATAAGGTATACTTTATTGAATGAAGCAACCATTGCTAAAAAATCTAGAAAAAATAATGAAAAGTTAGAAACCAATGTATCCTGCTGCAGACAGAAGCTGTGTGTTAGTTCTGAGCTTAATTAGATTACGGTAGTTGGTCATGTCCGTTTATATTGGAGAAAAACACGATTATTACACAACAATGGACACTTCGACTTCCGACAATTCATAATGATTACTATTATGCTGGGTTGAATAATTGTTCCATCAGCGCAACATAAAACCTAGCTCTTGGCTACGGATATTGAAAAGAAATCACCACTAACGACCTCTGTGGAAGTTCCTTAGAACTTGAGTCTTTAATCCCGAAGAAGTGGCTCTAGTAGAAAAATCAAGGCAGAAAATCGTTTGACAGCACCTTAGAAAAAAGAGTAGATTTATTTGATGCCGGTATGCACACAATTTTACGATACAAGGAAGATGTTTGATGACAACAGGCATTTGGCCCAGTTAGAGCAATGGATAGAGATATTCTGTAATGCACATCTGGAGGTCTTGGTTCCATCTCGCACCTTAATACCCACAAAAGTCAACATTACCATATTTCTATTGGATTTGGCTAGGTATACTGTTTTTTAAAACACTATCTTAATAAATTCATGGCCTCGTAAGTTAAGGCCAAATAAGCGTACAATCACGTCAAAGATGCTTAGAATAGAGTGAAATACATGACACCCACCTTGTGGATTGTTGACCAACAGTGGACGTTTTATCACCCACTAAGAGCTTTCTCTTAGTAAATGAAGTAGAAAAACAAAAAAACTTGTACTCGTTTAGGAGCACTAAAGGCAACCATTTTAAAATTTGAGCATTTCATGAGTAAGGTATTTTAGTGCAATAACTACTTGGTGATCAACCAGGACTAAATCAAATCCTCTCGAAAGTGCGATGCTACAGCTGAAATAATGCGAAAAGTTCTAATGCAGTAAACAAATTGACGATGCACCTAGAAAATTGTGGAAGGAGCCGGAAAATTAGTTGAGAACGCGGTGAAATTTTCAGAAAGCTTTCTAAACAAAAAACAATTTAACACTTTTGCAACAACGTGGCTTCCATAGGAGTCATGAGATGCGAGAATAATGGACGCGTTCAACCGCAACTCGAAATATATTAGCTTAAAGTAAATTTCATTAGTTGCAATGAATGCGCTTAGATTTTACAAATCTTTACCTACAACATTAAAGTTTTCATGTTTTAGTACGATGAAATTCCGATTCTCTGGAGCACAAAACAGGATATTTCACGCACTTTTTTGCTTGGAGACTCAAACGCTCTTTCGTTAAAAGTTTTGGGACCTAAAAATTTCATTTTTAATTCTTTTATAGTGCCGGTTCCATACATATTTAATCGAGACTTGTGTAAAAATGTACATATTATCATTGTGATGTCCAAAAATGGCTTCTATAAATCTCCAAAGTACTTTGTTCTTTAAATACTCTAGTAATCTAGAAAATGCGGTCTGTAGTTGAATAACCAGCCTCGTAACGAATACCTTAAAGGAGTTAATTTGACGTTAAAGGAGAGTAGGGTAAACGAGTCCAACTTAAGTGAGGACTGATAGTGTTAAGAATTTTTTTGCGGGAACTACAAGAAGTGCTACCTGAGTTCATTCTTAGAACCTATTTAAGCGTATGATGCAGCAGTAAACGACATTTGAGCAACTTCAGCGTTAAATCCTGTGAGAAAGAGAGAATTTTTGTAATGCTGGGCGAATGCAGTAAGTAGCTGCGTTATGAGGATTGGTTGAGGACGATTTCATGCTGAATCGACGGCACCTCTTCATGGCCATACGACGATGAAGTGCTAATGAAGGGAGACGGTAGTTAGATTAGATGCCGAAACGGGGCGTGGCCAACCAGCAGCCGCCTCCGCCGACGACGACGGTGGCAGCAAGACGCGCCAACGCTGCCACTGACGCACTTTCCGTGTCATCTTCAATTGATCCATTGAATCATTGGTAAGATCGTTACGAATATTTCTAAACAGCAGGCATGGGAGAGATGATCAGAGATGTCACTTATTGATCAGTGGTAGAAAATGTCTAAATACACCATTGAAACCTGGACCCAAGCACTACATGCTTAAAATTTCTGTGGTGTCTAACCTTTCTAGAAAGAACTCTCTTACGAAGCACAGCTCGTTAACACTGCTACAAGGAGATTTCGTATAACGGAATAAAACAACGGAATGATTCTACTATTTCCATAGGGAACTTTGAAGCTCATTAAGACGCACTACCACATCGACCTCTGAGAAGAAATGAAGAAAAGGAATCCTATATTTTACAAAGAACAAACTGGTAACGACAAACTAAGAAAGGCAGCGTACGAAATCGCGCTCGAGTGAAATTAGTCAAGTAGAGCTTTAATCCAATCAACTCCGAATTAGCTAATTGTTAGGAACGCTGCTGCTGCTGCTCCAGCGAAATCGGGTCGTTGTGATTGGGGAAAATTTAGAGAAGAGAGGACGGATAGTGAACGCCTCAGGGATTGAGTGGTAGCTGGAGGGATGTGGAAAGCTGGTTGACGAGGCTGATGACTAGGCACAACTATGTGGATCAGAAGAGCACATACATCAGCACATCTCCTATTTGTTTGTAAGTAATCACATAATACTCAATAGTACGCAAAGAAGTTGGTGTTAGATATATGCCAACCTGGTATCGGCTAAACCATGCATAAAATTACCGATTTTTCTTACAAGGATTTAACAAAAATTGCTTGCTAAGAGTTCGAAAAGTTTTCAAAGAAGAATATCTAGCCACGAGAGACGTCAGAGATGATAGGAACTAGCTGTTTTTATTTTTAAAACAAAATAAATCCAGTCAATATTTTATATACACAACTTTGAAAGACCAAATTAAAATCCGCACTATTTTCGTTGAAGTGGGTAAACTCGCCTAGCGTCATTTTAAGCGCTAGTTGTTGGCACTAAATTAAAATTTGTGATTAATGTGTTTGTGTACGCATATAATAGAAACTGTAGAGAAATATAAATTAAGGAGCCTAAGGCATCAGCGACATTAAACAGTTGACGAATAAAGAAGTAAACAACAAAATTGTGGAGAATGGAAACGATTATAACGTTTTTCCCGTTTTTTCTACCTCACCTAAAAAAGAATAACAAGTTGATTGCGGCTCAATAATGGGAATTATATTTGAATACTTGAATAGCCCGTTTCCACGAAAAATCCTGCCGACCTCAATACAATTTCTATTTGAATTGTAACTTACTTGTTAAACTAAGTTTTCTTTCTATGGACTTTAAAGATAGCTATGTTGAGGCTTTTCGAAGGCGCTACCAAAGATAGTTGCCTGCTCATGTAGAGGATGGAGACATCTTAGGATTAAGTTGCAGCAAGAATAGTGATCACTGTTGGGCATCACTTTAACCTTAGCAGAGCTTTTGATTGAAAATGTGTCCCTCTTTCTCTCTCCTTGGGAAGCTTGCGGTGTACATTGTAGTCCGAGACTTGGGAACACTACCACTAGCGCTACGACTAAGCAGTAAACTGTAGGAGGGAATAAGGAAAAATGACGAGTAACGGAAAGAATTCATTTAGAACTTAAGATTTGTACACGGTGTTTAACACGATAGAATTATTCAATTAAAATTAGTCTCGAACGACAACGACGCAAAAACCGATGTGAAGAAAAAAGAAGCGAATGGAAGTGTAGTTGGTAGAAAGAAAGTGAGAACATAAAGTAATGAAAAAGAAGACAAGGAAAGAAATGATTGTTCGGGTAGCAGAGAAAGTGAACGACCCAACAGATCAATGCAAAATTAGTATTCATTAACAGGTCGCAGACAATTATTCACTAAAGAATGAGACCCAACTAAACGTTGGCAATTAGATGCACTATATCCTATATGGATTACTGTATCACAATTAAAGAACCAATAATCGAAGTATTTTCCGTATTTAAGTAACTGCCGTTCTCATTAAATAAAGCTTTCTTAAACACTCCAAAGCGTAAGATTCTACTTGAAAAAAGAAGACGGTATCAAGAGGCATAAATGCTGTTTTAGTGTGGTTGGATTCTCTTTGATAAGTTGATCGACCGATATTACATTAAGCGACTGCAAATCGTAGGAAGAAAACATAATCACTCTTAGAATAGCCATTAGCCATAACTAGACGGTATCCTATAATGCTTGCTGTACTTTCCACATACACATTTATTTACCTAAATGCCTCGCTGACAAGTCATCGTATAATAATGTCGCGCTTCTTCTAGCATTTCTTCCATTGGTTTCGTTGTCTTGCAGTCGTCACCCTTGAAAATTATCGGTTTAGTGGATGGTATACAGGATTTACAGATGTCACTTTTTATTGACATGCTGGGTTCTGGTCAAGAGTTGTTTTTCCAGGAGTCTTAAATTAGTCGTGCTAAGGGGTTCATGGGCCTTCATCATCATCACAGATAGTCGTCGACTCTTTGAACGAAGTTTCATGTCTCGTGAACAGGGCTTATTTATGACATTATTTGACGACAGCGAATCTTGCGATGGTTCCATCAACCGATTGAGAACAATGTAGGAAGCCAGGAAGTTGCTAGCACCTCCGAAATTCGCCTGTATATATATATATATATATATATATATATATATATATAATATCAGTAAAATCCGAAAAGTATTGGTTCCAAAATACTATGTTCTATGTCAACGTTTTTTATTTAGTGCCTATGCATACTACAATTTTCACGGCAGCACATTATGCAAAATCACCCACAATGATGCTGAGATGCAAAACTTCGAAATGCGGGTGCGTGCGGTGGAGATCGAACACGCTATTATCCTTTTCGATGGCTAACGCTTTCTCCACCACACCATTCGATCCTTCGTTTCGCCTTTCTCTCAGCCAGTTTTCAATCTATCAGTTCCATCAGCAATCACTCTGTTCTATGTAAATCAATTTTGGATATTATTGAAACTTTACACTCTAACAGGCTGTAATCACGTAGGCTTTCGTTTATGACAGATAGAAATGGTGGAATTGCTAGCTGTTGTTGGAACGAGCAGGAATTCTATACTTCAATCTTTCACCTTTTTATTTACTGTCTATTCTTTTTTCATGGCAGAGCATGATGTTATGTACAACCTCAAGGATGCTGAGAAACGAGCAAAACTCGGAATCTCAGTTGGGCTTCGAACCCGCGAATACTGTTACCGTGGGCTCACGTGCTTTCCACCACACCAATCGAGTCCCATTTCTTTCCATCGAGTCCCGAGACCTTTTTTCCAGCTCTTTATCTCACCCTTTAAGGTCGTACCTATTGTGACACAGTTTAGTAATCTTTGTAATAAGGTATCTTAAAGCATGTTGAACATTAGCGTTGTTGCCATTCTTCCACTTTTTTAAACGTAACTCACATTATAACCAAGTCCTTATTGTAGTTACTTAAACTTTATAACCATAATATTATAAGGCCGTATCGTGAATCATCACTAAACCCATCATTAAAAGGCCGACGTTGGAGCTTCAACTTTCCTTCCTTGCTTGTCCATGATAGATATCAAATGAAAATCTATAAAAAATATATATAAAATCTATACGTTGGTTATTCTACTGATTATTACTCACTGCAAATAAGAGAAAGCACAAAATAAAAAACTTAAAAAACTTCCAGGAATTTTAAAGTAAAAAAACAGCTAATTTCATATCAGAGGGTGTTTTAGGGCAAAAAGGTGTCAAAAGTCACAAAGCTGCTTTCTTGTGAGTCTTTCGACCGATTTCCAGCAAAAGGGTTTTACTTGTTCGGTTGTGCGATACCGTATTATTACCCTACGTATAATTATTTCTTGAAATGTTACAATTGTAAGTATTTTATTAAAAACTGAGCTAAAACTGACAAAAAACTTGTGGTAAAAGCACTTTTACAACAATAACAGAGCACTTAACCAGGAAATATGACGAAAACTTGCTTCGGACTTCAAAAAGTTTTCAAAGCTAAAAATACTGAACCCTAAAGACCAATTATGGTGAGCGAGATAGACCTATAAAACCACTTCGAAAATATCTCGAGACGTCGGGATTTGAAGAATAATTGATCTGCCCCAATGAATGAACTTAAAACCTCATGAGGCACAATTCATCGTTTTCCTCTCATCCATCACCGAATCCTCTCATCACACAATCATCTCGCCCATGTTCCGATTCCGACGCAATAGTTCTTTGGAAACGCAGAAAATACTACCGGATAATTACTTTCTGAAGCCGTACTAACCATGTGCATTCGAGCAGTATAGACTGAGCATTTGACATCGTTGTGCTTTTATTCATTATTGTAGGAGTGAGAGTGTAGAGAGAAGAACTCAACAAGGCGAGGGAAAGCGAACACGACTTGAGCTGCAACATTCATAACCTGACTACTGAAGATTCGAGCAATTGCCTGACCGTATATCAGTAACTCACAGATGTTTTCCTAAAAAAATTAAGTCTTTTCCAAATACAAAAAAACATGGGCTCAAAAGTGATACGATTCTTCGGTTCAAGAAAATTCGTTCAACTGTTAGATTCAGAAACTTTTCAGGAAATACTGTAATAGAATCATGTATGAATAGGGAGGAGGCAGAATTTGAATTCGATCGGTTCTATATTTTATACCTAATCAGGTCACATTGACTTTTCATAGAAATATTTACATTACCGTACTTTGATACTGTTTTACATAATTGAGCTGATATAAGGTAAATATAAAAAACTGGTTTACATAACAACCTGGTGTCAGCTCTATCACACAGAGAACTATTGATCACCGCTACCGAGATTAATGAAAGTCGGTTTTTAAGATATCGTATTCTATATCGAACCGTAAGGGCGCACATAAGTGCTTTGGCAGCTTTCATGGGATCCAATCATTAGTGAATAAAATTAGACCGTATATTGGTGGTCTTCTCGTAATATCATGATGAAAACTTATTATGCGATTCTAAATTCGAGGACATCTTGGCGACGAATTGCTTTTATATGTAGACGCTGCTAAACGACTTACCGTAATATCTGTTTGAATTATATTTGCGAATCTAATTACGTCATTAAGCGGCCTGCGCAAGCCGATTACGGTAGTCAGAGACGTGCGGTCACACAGCAGCAGCCGCGACGACGACAGCGGCGACGGCTGCGGCAGAAGTGTCGGCAGGGATGCAATTCATTTCGAGAGGGAGTTGAGTGAAGAGGGCAAACGAGGGCATGCTGGTGTGTACAAACAGAGCCAAGCGTTGTAGATGAAGAAGAAGAAGAAGAAGAAGGGGAGGAGCAAGAGAGAGACGAAAATTTGTCGTTGCCGAATTATCATAACTTGCGAGCGCAGTTAGAGCGCCACAGCTAGCGCGCGACAAATTGCATAAACGACGGCTCGCGAGTAATGATGAAAACATGAAATGGAATAGAAATTTCATTAGAGCCCACGGGTTCTATGCAAAAGCTCATCAGAGCTTCTTCTCCAGTGATGTCGTAGCCACGGGATCATGTCAATTACACAAAAGTCGAGCTAAATAGAAAAGTTGCTCGAGATTGAATGTAGGAGGTTGGCAAACGCTTTTGGCGGTTTGTCTGTAGTAGGGAAACAGATTGGATTACTGCTGTGATCTCAAGTTTAATAACATTTCGCATAAATCTATGAAATGGACACCAGCTTGGATCGCTTTTAAAACTCTGCCATAATGAGAAAACCACACAAAACCACTGACCTAGCCATCGATTCTTTAAGACAAATAGGCTTACGTCCTGTTATTACCAGTCGGTAGCTGCACGTGGTGACCAGGATTTTTGATAGAACCACGGAATTTACAGTTCCAAGATATGTACTCAACCAGGATCACACTTCTTCGGCTCAGGATAAGTTGGACTTAGAGACAAAGAGAATGTGAAGTGGAAAACGATGGGTGACCTGACTCTGAAAATCTACACACGTGTGTCATAGAATTTGATCTTCAGGAACGAAATCCCCTTTAAGCTGGCTGGAGGTGTTTTACGAAGTCCAACCTAGAAAACAGGGCGGAAGGATTGATTCGAGCTTTATGTACGTCAGTATTAAATGGTATGCACATATCTTATTGTTACAAACATAAATCAATTCTTTAGTTTGTTTAATTCGCTTAAACCTTAGAACACCTCATTGAAACTGGCGATAGGAAAAGTACTAAGTTGAATATTTGACGAATCCATAGAAATGTCTATACTAAGGGCTTCGAATCCTTGTTGTGACATGTAATGGTGGTTGTGGATGGAGGGGGCAGGAGTTATGGCGCTCTGCTTCACCACCATCAACAGCAGCTACTTTTTGCTGGCCAGGTAATGGCATCATTTTTTTTCGAGTCGGCGCCGAAAACTACCGGCTGAATGCTTCTGGAAGGTGTTAATCAATTAGAGAGTGGGGACTATGAATTGTGGTTTCCGCCTAAATTGGCCGATTGCCTAATATGGCGGCGTTCATGCGCAAATGAACAACTACTGGTAGTCGACATTGAGTGCGCCCACTATTCAACCAACGAATGAACGTTGAAGAAAAGGAAGAATCCACACCATCTGCAAGAGGGTACTACGGTATTTACAACAATGTCCTGATCACGGTGACGACTTCTTAGCGATATTTCGATTTTTTTTTTGTTTGGATCATAGTGATACTTTCGTACTATTTCTGATTGTACTACTACAAAGAGTAGAAAATAAGAGGATTGAGTTTTAGGAATGTTTGGCACCATTAAATTTACTGGATATCATTTTAAAAATAAAATTAGTGTGAAAAAGCACAACATGGGTTAAAAGACAAGGTACAAAATGAAGACGTCCAAAAGACACCGCAAAAGTCGAACACTTGTTTCATAAAACTAACCGCCACCGTTTGAATAGTCCTTTTTTAAACGTTGTAGGTGATAAAATATAAATATCCTATTGCATTAAACGATTTAGTGCTTCTAAAAAGTTGGGTGAACGCCAGCTCTTCAATGTCTAGATCTATATGAACACATGTAGCCTTAGTTACTCAAATAGCAGACGCTAAGGATAATGAAGTGAATGTAACACAAAATTCAGGTACAGCTGATTAGCTAATAAAAAATAAAAGATGGGAGAAATTGGGAACAACTACAAGAGGTTTTCCAAACACGAGTAAGTACCTATGGAATATATCTTTATAATAATATAAGATATATTCAATCAATGCCGAGGTTAATAGAAAGTCGGACTTGGGAGTTACCTATGGAATGTCTGCATCTTCTTCATCGCTCTAGGAAGCCACAGAAAATTAGCGAAATGTTTCCATCGACGATTAGAGCACCAAATATTTTCAGCAGATTATGGACGGATCTATTCAATTAGAAGCAGATAGAGATACACCGAAATATCTATACGAAATCTCTAGATGTAGATAAGAAGCGCCTAGAAGCTCTTAACCACTGACTCATGATAGACATCCGACCTTATCAAGAGTATTTCGCGAAATTATTTCCATTCCGCTAGTAATACGTCAGTTCAAAGACATCGGCATAATCTCAAAACAATCTCACAACATCTGTGTAATCGACGAACAAACTGTTGGTCGGCTACATGGAGTCATAGTAGCGGAAATTCGGCCGCTCATATTGGTCAACCTGTGAATATAATAATTACAGGTTAGATGGAACCAATCAAGCGCTACAATTACACCAGAGAGAAACGACGTTTCGAAAATGTTGGTCGTAACCGCGAACGACGACTAGAACGACAGAAAATGCTGAGGTACAGCAGAATAGGAGAAGAAAACAAGATAGTAACGTAGCAACTAAGCAATGCAACATTGGTTTCTAAGATAATAAAGTTGGAACAAAAACCCTTAAGTTGATTACTCGACGATTTTGGCGGATTTCTTTTTTGTAAATCCAAACAGAACACGCTATTATGCCTCCTTATTGATTCGGACGAGATATCGAAAACTTCCTGGCTAAACAGAAGGATGGAAGTACTATAAAAAACGATCTATACCTAAAAGATGTTCTTCCATAGAATTCAAAGAAGAGTGAGAAAAAAAAACAGCTGTTCAAACGTTGCTTATTGACAGTTCATTTTTAAATTTCGTTATCGTTAAAATGTCCTTAGCTTTTATGATGTTCAGAAAAACACCACTGTAGTTAAGAAAGAAAGCGTCGAAGAAGAATAAAAATAATAGAGGACTAAGTCGAATAGATGAAATGGATGTGCTCTAAGCTAAGCAGTGGAAAGAGAGCAGTGACTTCCAAACGAAGTTCAGATTTAGTGGAATATCCTTCATAGGGAAAAAGTTTCTTGATACTTAGCACATCTTTTTCGCCTTCAATTGTGTTGAAAAAAAAGGACTTTCACCTTATCACCGATACCCAGCACCGTGGGGCGCGTGTGGCGCAGTAGTTGGAGGCGCGGCTGCGAGACACACGTGGAGTCGATCTCAGGGCCCATGGCTCACCAAGCCTTCCATCACTCCGGGGTCGGCAAATTGGTGCGAGACTTGTCTGGGTGGATAGCGGCACTGGCTTGGTACACCGGTAGGCCACTGCGAGTCATTGTAAAGGCCAGATACGCATTTAATCACCTCCAACGATACTTAATGAAGTCGAGTGCATGGCGCATCCCTCAGGGATTGATCAGCGCCGAGAGCTTTTTTATTTTCATCCTTTACCCACCACCGCAATCTATTACGTCTGCCGAAGTGAAAAAAGCCCTCAGTTTGGCTATGTACAAGTTCTCCTACAACTGAAGATCAATCTTAGCTTCTGATCCAGTTAATTTTCTTACAAGTTGTTAATCTATTGAAAAAAATCGATAACAAGTTTTGAGAATGTGCGATATTCTATCGAAATCACGATGGATATAGAAATTGCGATGCCACGAATCACCAAGCAGCTCAACGAGTACACATAAAGTAGTAGATTTTCCCAACGATTCAACAGATTCAGGTTTATTAATCAATAAAAGAGTTAGTTGTTGAAGTCGGGTGGAGGTATGTGTATGTGTGGCTAATGTGTGGGAGGAGCACCCATATACCTGAATGACGATGGGTGGAACTCGTTCCGGTCAGCATTCATTCATTCATTAATGCAATTAAGCGTACGCAATTTCACATAATGCACTCTTGCTAGGTTGAATGGAAACTTCCGCGACACTCTGAAAGGATTCTTGAAACTATTTGGCTGAGTTTTCCGGAAATCAATTTGGTCTTTACAGGCTCTGAAGATGGCGAAGCAGTCGATAGGTTAGATAGCTGGGGTCAAACGAATATTGTTCTTACAACCTAGTGTCTTCTCTTAAACAAAACAGTAACCCTTGAAAACTTTCTAGGATCGATCGACGAAGCATTTAGCTTCCATCAATCCTTAAAACGACGTTATGCATTCGACTCCATTCACAGCATCATAAAGTTGACTGAGCGCATATTTCACTTTTACAACAACTTACGAGGTGAAGATTTAACGGGCCTATCGATGTCTCAAGCCAGCTTTTTTAACTCGCCAAACTTGTGCGCGATAGAAACGGCAAATCCTAGAAAAAAGGTCTAGGTTCGATCGGTTGTCAGCTCAAACCTGTCTACGATAGCCACTAACACTACTGGGCAAAGCACTGTTCTTCACACATCCAGCAGTTTCGATTACGATATAGTTGTTTCTATCAGTTACCAAGTATTTCTAAAGCATGAGGAAAGTTGTTCAACAGCTACCAAGTCGTTGAAAACATTGGTAGTTGTGGAACAAAATCAGTGGTTGATGTATCTTCGAGTTTCGTCTCTTCAATGAAGGCCTTGACTCGCAGGCAAATCTTAAACTGTTAGAACCGATAGATTTTTTTTTAGAAAGAACAACGTCCACAGAATGCGGCAGACGAATAGAAATCACAACCAAATTTAGAAATTGTCTTACGAGTCTTTTTTGTACTTGTCTTTCCCATCTAAGCATGGGCGTAATCATATTTCAAAATAACTTTGTTCGGCATAGAACGCTATTCTTGAGCGTCCTCAATCAACGGAATAAGAAGGTAATCTTCATTATGGTACGCATAGAAAAATCTTTACCTCCTACAAATTTGATTTCAGTTCATACGGTAGCAAGTCTCTTTCTGCAGGCCATGGACTCTTCTAAATAACCACAAACGATGGACCCGCGTGGTGTGGTGGTGAACGCGCAACTCCCCGGAAAGGACAATAGCGCGTTCGTTCCCCACCGCAGACACCTGCGGTCCGGAGTTTTGCAAATATTTTAGCATCATTGAAGTTATAACC